ATTACTTGATGTACTTTGAGATTTTTGCAAGTGTTAACAAGGGTTTTTGCTGATTTTTTTCAGCTTCTATCCTGTTGGTCTTAAAGCATGGGTCTCTTTACTCTGATCTGCTAAGGGGCTAATGAGGATGTGTGATTCTGGCAGTTACACAATTCTTGGCCATCATCTCACTTTGACTACCTAAGAACTGTTAACCAAAAGGAATGATGAGAAATTGGAGTATGCCTTCAACAAACCTGGTTAACTTTACATCTCTTGGTAAATCATTGAGGAAACCTTGTAAGGTGTTGTTGGACAGTAGGATCTAAGGAAGGTGGAATAGGTTGCATGGCTTCAAAAGTGCAGGTAACACAATAAGTCACATCGAGGAAAGGACACAAGGATTCTTTAAATAAAAAATTCTGCATAAAGAGTAAGCTTTTGTATAGAATAGCACTAAAGGTGCTAGAAAAATTTAAACTTTAGAAATATATATATATATATATATATATATATATATATATATATATGAAAATTTTTCTGAACTTCCCAATAGAGAATAACCCTTGTGAAAACCAATAGCTCTCTCTATGTGATCCTTTTCAAAATTCGATGAAATGAAAGAGAAACTGTGCATGAGTATGAATTACAATATATCTGTAAAACTGTGATCTCTGCTCCATTTCATTTAAGAAGAACTTCTATCTTGATACTGAATTGACCTAAATCACTACAAGTGGCTTATTCAAGTTTGTTCTACTTCTGCCTTCTATCTTACAGACATAATGCAAATTTAACAGGAGGAAATACTGGCTAATAAAATACAAAAATTGTGGCTAAAAACAAAATTTAAAAAAGCCATATTTTATGGGTTTACCTTAGAGTTTGTTCTACTAATTTTTGAAAACAAGTTCTTATCAATCATGCTGTATGATTTTATTTTCAGGAAACTTGTAAATATGGAAGAAACACAGTCAACATTCATATGACTAAAGAGGAGCCTTAATTCACCAGCTTTTCAGACAGAAATCGATCCTGAATTTGAATAGCAAGAGTCTTGTCAGTGAGAATCAAGATAACCAGAGAGGGCTATACAGAAAGACCTTTGTTAATTCTAAATTTTTCCCAGTTAATGATGGGGAAATAGAAATGTTTGAGGAGACATTATATTTAACCTGATTTAAACATTACACAATGGATTCATGTATCAAAATGCTGTATGTTGGGGCTGGGGATGTGGCTCAAGCAGGGCGCTGGGTTCGATCCTCAGCACCACATAAAAATAAAATAAAGATGTTGTGTCCTCCGAGAACTAAAAAATAAATATTGAAAAAAATTCTCTCTCTCTCTCTTTCTCTTTTAAAAAAATGCTGTATGATATCCATTAATATGTATAATTGTTATGATTTTATTGCCAGTAAAATAAATTTAATTTTAAAAAAGAAATAGTGGAGTACATGAGACAGAGAAGATGACATAAACAGCGCAGATAGGGATAAAGCAAAAACATTTATAGATCAAGGGGCAGACACACACACAAAAAACAGAAGCCCCAGGTTGTGTGTCTTCATTTCTTCCACTCCAGAAGGAATCTTCTCTCATCTGTATTTTAGCTTATTTTTCCAAACTTTTGAGACATTTCATGTTATCATTTTTCTTTATTTTTCTGTGTAATAAGACTTCCACTGAACTGATAATCCTAATCAACAATTAAACATGTTCATTTCTCTTTCGTCTTACATTTTTTCCTCCTAATTTCTCATCAGCCCTCAATTGCTCCTGTATCATTTTTTGCTCCTTCACAATAAAACATGTTCAAAGAGTTACCTTAACTTACTGACTTAATTTTCTCTCATCTACAGTTTCTCGATCCCTGGCAAAGAAGTCTTGGGGTCATAGAATTGGTGGAGGGTCCAGTGGAGTTTTAATAAACTTTCCCATCGTCTTCTAACACACCACTTTTATTATTTGTCTACAACTTTTCTGGTTATTCTGTCAGACTCTTACAGTTTTATCTTTTTCTACTGAGTCATTAAATGTTAGCTCTTAGACTTTGTCATGGGCAATTCTTTCTCCTAACTCTATACTCCTATCCATGGCCATGGTTCCAACAATCATTTGTAAACTAGTGACTCACAGATTTAATTTTCTGTCCAGACCTCTCCTCTGAGCTCAACATCCATATGTTAAATTGAAAACTGCACTTTAATGTTTCGAAGGCATTTTCATCAGTGCACTCAAGCCTGAGCTCTTAATATTTTCTATTAAACCTGCTCTCCTTGCATTGTTTACTACTTCATTGGAAGATAAGTTCTATCCAGTTGCACATCAGAAAATGAATATTCATTTTTTGACATAATTTTTACTACTGGTATTCAATCAGTTACAATTTTTTTTCCTACTTATATCTTATGTATGTGAGTTTCTTTTTTTCTGACACTAGTATCATTTTTCTTTTTTAGTTTTGAGGATTTATTTCAGGGAAGCTTTACCACTGAGCCATATCCCCAGCCCATTTGTCATTGTTTTTTTTTTTTTTTTTTTAGACAGGTCTTGCTAAGCTGCCGAGGCCCTTGCTAACTTGCTGAGGCTGGCCTCAAACTTGTGATGCTCCTGCCTCAGTACCCCCAAGTCACTGGGATTACAGGTGTGTGTCACTGAGCCTGACTGACACTAGTGTATTTCATCCTAGTGATTATGATGTCTTGGATGTGTAAGTGGCCCCTGCAATCATTCCTTAACATAGCTATAATGGCCCATAGAATTTTCCAGCTGTTGACCTTTCCAATGTAGACTTCCAGTATTTAGCCATCCTCTTTGCTTGTTTGTTCTATACACACTATCTATGATATGTCTGAATATGCCATGGTTCTTCCTACCAGTCTTTTCACATACTCTTCCCTCTGCCTAGAACACATGCCTCTAGCTTTGTCTGTTTGTTTTTACTAAGTTCACCACTACACAGTTTTCAATGATCATGGTCCAGGCTAATGTAACTTGCTTTTGCATCATATTTCTCTCATTTCCAGCAAAACTAAAAAAAATGTAACTATTCCCTCATTAGTGTCAGAGACTATCAATCTCTCTCATTAAACTGCATACACACAAGAATAAGAAATTTATGTAATTTTGGATTACCATTAAATTCTAGAAGCTTAATATAGTGCTATGGATTTAATAGGCACCATTTTGTTAAATTAATAAACAAAATTAAACAGGATTTAAAAAGAGAAGAAATGCAAAGAGAAATGAAAAAAATAAGAACTATTGAAAGAAATCTTAGCAGATAATATTTTAAATAATGATGTATAATATAAAATATATAATCTACAATGTAGTCCTAGTCTCATACCATCATACTACTGTAACCTTGAACTCTTGGAGGATATTGCCTATAAGTAAAAGTACATTTTCATTTTTGCGTAGAGATAAATTCTAGAAAAAGACCACTTTTGTTCCTTTGTTAGCAGATCTCTCCTTTGTTTTTTTCTGCACAATGCCCAGTGTTCCAAAGGGTAAAAGTAATTTATAAATAATAACTTAGTCACCTCAGGTTAAAAAGGATTTAATTGGATAAAATTAATTCAAAGACATGTGAAGTTCTTTGTTTTCAGTTTTACTAGAAAAGTCCTTTCTTTTCATTTTTTTTTTATTTTTACAGAATGCTTTCCATTTGACACTAAGAAGCTGAATGATTTGAGGGCTGCTCAATTAAGTCATTATTACCTAAAAACAAATAAGGAAATCATTCTTCTAAAAAAAGTTTGACCCAAAGTGAAAATAATTTCATAAATAGAATGCACTATTTTTATATAAAATTATGACACTACAAAATGACTTTAGCAATAGATAGTCATCATTTAAATAGTTTTCATTTAAATAGCCTTTTAAATAGTTTTCTGTTATTCACCTTCTCATCTGGCTCTTCATTGTTATCAATAAGCAACACTTATAAGATAGATGATTGAAATGAGTTAAGTCCATCACTCTGAAATTTTGTTTTATTGGTACATAACTTGGTTACAAAGGAGTATAGCCAATTTACAAATAATAATTTTATTACTTTAGGGAAATTTCATTGCCTTCTTGTTATCACCAACTGAATTGTGTAGAACAGACACCCTTGTTTCTTTATCTATTTAGAAATTTACTGAATATCTTCTATCTGTCAAATGCCCTGCTATGAGCATTAAAAATGAGTAAGATGCTATCTGTGCCTGTAAGTTTACATTTTTAGATTGGTGTCAATTTTCTTGATGTTATTTTCAGATTGATGTGGTCCCTGAGAAAGTTTATTTGATTTATGTAGCCTGCCTAGGTTAGCCAAGATTCCTGCTCATCAGAGTAAAGTATCCAATGTGCTCTTACACACATGCACAGTCAAAAAATGATATTTTTCACCAATATGGATGAACTTTTGAGACCATTATCACTAGATTGCTATACTGATGAAGAATTTTAAGTTCTTGGCTGAAATATGTAAATTTTATTCAGTAATGTCCTTGAAATATGACCATCATATATAGTCATTTCTCTTTTCTGATATTTCTTAATTCTGAAGCATGAGCTAATTTAAGGAAGGCTTTCTAAAAATTTATATACTCCATCAAGACATTTGCAGTTAATATCCCCCCCCCCTTCTTCTTTTTTGTACTGTGCTGCTAGTGGCTCCTGTTCAATTCCCGGCAGCTGTACTTTTTACTAAATACTTTATTGAACAATTAAAATAGATCTTAATTTCAACTAAACTACTTGATTCTTTATTGTAATATGTTTGCTTATACCATGACATTTACAAATTGATTTGTTTTGTGTAAAATTTGATTACCACCAAATGCTATGAAATTATACCTTAGTTCAATTTTTAGTTTACTTTGCCAACTGAAAAGAGTAGCTTGTGAAAAAAAAATCAGATGTGCTTTTTTTTTCTTTTCATATTTGGATAGCTATTACACATACAAATACTATCTTTAAAATAATGTTATGCCCTAAAATTCAAAGAATTACTGTGGAATACTTACCGTATGGTGATAGGGATGAATTCATTGTTGTTAATGCTATAATTAGCAGAAAGAGTCAAGGTATTTTGAGAGCCTCCACATCCATATTTAACTGTGGGTCTTCCTTCCACAAGAAATAAATGAAGGAACTGTTTTCCAAAATTACTTCCAATACCTTTAAGAACAAGCAATACATTAAAAACTCAATGTAGATATGTATTTTGATTTTAACAAAATAATCCATTCAACAAACACAATCTTTGTTTTCAAGGAGTAATGACTTACGGAATATTAATAGCGCTATTAGATAATTATTTATTGTATTAAATACTATATTAGACATACATATTATTTTTTACATTATTTTTGCCGAGGATAGTAAGACATTAACAGTATTAACTTGACATTAGTTTAACTGTGTTTTCCTGGTAGCTAGATGTTCTTAGTTATTTGGAACCACAATTTCTTCAGATATTAAAATGGGACAAGAGAAACTATTAGAAACTACTGTGATAATTACATATAAGGGTAAATAGAAAAGTGCCTGGAAAATATGGAATATTCAATAACAGATTTATATTAATAATGATTGAATCTAAGGTCTAAGCTATATTTTCTATGGTTTCTCATTTCATATAATTATTTAATTTTGATTACAAAATAATGTACATCTCTTATAAAAATTGAAATGAAGAAAAAGGTGGAAAATCCCTTGATCCATCCCAATTTGAGATATTCTTTTCCATCACCTATCTATCCACAAATAAATATTTATATATTCCAACTTTATTTTTAAGTGGTGATTGTGCTTTATTCGTGAGTTCATGAATAATTTCATTTATACATATTTCTCTTTTCACTTAAGATAAATTTTAGACATCTGTCTTTATAAGTTCATAGATGTCTTTTCTATACTTTCTTAATTGAAACATAACTCATGCAGAAAATCACACAAATTGTTAGTACATAGCTCAGTGAGTTTTCACAAAGTGAACCTGCTCAATTAAATATCACCCCAATTTAAAAAAGGAGCATTGTCTGCATTGTCAGAAGTCCTGCCAATCACTACTCATTTTTCTTTCTTTCACCAACAATAACCTCTGTTCTGATATTGAATATCTATGGTTAGTTTTGTTGATCATTAGTGGAACCATACTGTATATATTTTTACTGTCTAATTTTGCTCAATATTATGTTTGAGAGATAGTGACTATGCTACCCTTTATTTATTTTTCAGTGATTCAAAATATTCTAGTAAATTAATATTTACAATTCAGTTCTTTCTACTACTGATGGCCATTTCCCTCCTAGTTTTTGGTTACTCTGAATAATGCTGCTATGAAAATCCATATGTCTTTTATGTTAAAGGACACACATTTCTGCTGTGTATGTATCCAAGAATTCAATTGCTTTGTCAGAAACTACGAATGATGAACTTGAGTAACTATTTTAACTCCTTTCATTTTCTCAGTATGATTATATTTACCACCTTAAAAGCGTTCCAGATGATCCATATTCTTATTATTACTATTTGATACGATCACCGGTAGATTTTAACTGTTATGTTTATTATATCTTTGGGTTTTATTTTCCAGATTATTGGTGAAGTTTGACATATCTACTGCCCATTTGATATCCTCTTTTGTGAAATGAGAGTTTGTATTTATTTCTCATATTTCTATTTAGTTGTTTGCTTTTTCTTTATTGGAAACAAGCTCTTTGTGAACTACATTTACTACAAATATCTTCATATATTCTCTAATTCTATAGATTTTTATGTCAATACTCTTAAGGGCAAGTTTTGATAAATACAATTTCTTTAATTTTAGTGTGGGTCAATTTGTGAATTATTTCCTTTATGGTTATGAGTAGTGCTTTTTAAGTCATCTTTAAAATGTCTTTGCTGTGGGGGTAGGAAAGATGGTGAAATGAGATGGACATCATGACCCTAGGTACATGTACGACGACTGCACATATGGTACGACTCTACATTGTGTACAACCAAAGAAATGTAAAGTGGTGCTGCAATTGTGTACAATGAATCAACATGCATTCTGCTGTCATATATACTCATTAAAATAAATAAATTTAAAAAATCTTTGCTTACTCCAACTATAAATTTATTCTCTATGTTATTTTCTGTAGATTTTACTTAAGATCTACACTCTACCTAGAACTGATTTTCTATGAATGTGAAGTATTCAGATGTGGTTGGCAGAGTAAGTCCAAGACAGCCACATCCTAATTTCTGGAACGTGAGTGTTAATTTACAGTGAAAGAGAAATTTTTGTAGATCTGATTAAATTAAGGGACTTGAGATGGGAAGATCATACTGGATTATCTGTGAATAGGCCCTAATTATAGTCGCTTGTGTCCTTACACAAGAGAAGCACAGAATGATTTGTAGGCAGTTGAGGAGAAGGCTGTCACTACAGAAGTAATGCAGGACAAACCACAGAGTTAGCTGCCATCAGCAGCTAGGAAAGGCAGAGAATGGTTTTTCCTGGAGTCTCCAGAGGGAACAAGTCTTGCTGACAACTTGAGTTTAGTCCCAGGAGATGAATTTAGAACCACTGATCTCCAGAACTTAGAGTAAATTTTTTGTTTTAAGCCACTAAATCATTTGTAATTTACTGTGTCGCAATAAGATACAAATGCATTTCATTATGACGATGTGTAAAAACACAGTTTGATTAATTTCAATTCCGAATATTGCCCCTATCCTCCTGTCCTTCCTTATTTCATTCAAAATTATGGTCTCCAGTTCCATCTATTTTCCTGCAAATGACATAATTTCATTCCTTTTTATAGCTGACTAAAACTTCATGGTATGTACAGACCACATTTTATTTATCTGTTCATCTGTTGATGGATACCTAGGCTGATTTCATAACATGGGTGTAAACAGGGGTATGTATATATCTCTAAATTATGCTGAGTTTAATTCTTTTGGATAAATACAAAGCAGTGGTATATCTGGATCATAAGTTAGTTCTAGTTTCAGCTTTTTGAGGAAACTCCATGCTGATTTCCATAATGACTACAATAATTTGCATTCCCACCAACAGTGTGAGAGTTCCTTTCCCCCATTATCCTCATTACCCCTTTATTGTTTTTTTTTTTTTTTTTTTTTTTGTATTCTTGATGATTGCCATTCTAACTGGAATGGGATGGAATTGGATGGAATTTTAGTGTAGTTTCGATTTGCATTTCCTTGATGGCTGAATATGTTGAATTAAAAAAAAAGATTTATAAATTCAAGAAAGAGAAGCATATTTCCCACGAGTGTTCTAGCAATAGAACTGGAGAGAACCAAGAATATAAATTCAGTAATAGAATCGCACAAAGCAAAACAGAATAATACAAACTTATTACATCAATATGGTAGAAGTCGGGAAAAATTGAATAAAATATCAGCATTAAAGATTTTATAATAATTAGGAATAACAAAAATCATAATGAACATGCCTGAAAATAACTGTTTTGAGATTCTCCCAAAAGTCCTATTTTAGAGCCCACGTGACTGAGGCAGGTTTTTAATCAGACTTCTGGGGACTCCAGATGTACAAAGCCCCAAATTAGCCCAGTGCCCAGCAGAAGACAAAGCAACTCCACCTTTTCCTCAGAGATCCATTAGGAGTTTCGTTTTGCTTTCTACTCTAGCATTTTTCATATTTTTTTCTCATGAATTCCTATTCAATTTCTTATGCTGCTTTTCTTCTAATTTGAAAAAGAAATTCTTTGATTAAGAATTTCCAGCGTTAATTTTGATTCTTCTTTTTACTGGGGTTGGGTGGGGGCAACCAAAGCACATTTAGAAACAGGAAACTACATCAGACTCTTGTGTTTTCTTTCCTTGGCTCCATAAAAGTTCTTATCACCATGACATCATGGTTGTTCTTCCAATGACATCAGGTTGTTCTTCCCTGAAATGTTGACTTATTCTCCATTTGTACCCTTCTGAGGGTGTCATGAACTGAGGGGCAGTCTATTATCCTGCTCCATTCCACCACTTTTACTCACAAGATTTTTATAACATAATATTTTTTTATAAATTTCTTTACATTGCCATTTCAGCCTCCTATTTTTGAGATAAGACTTAAAAATATGCTACAGAGTAGGGTAGAACAGAGCTGAACATTTAGGTCAAGCTGTTGTGCCATATGCACAAGGTTTGTTTTTCAAAACTTTCAAAATTGAATTTTAAAGACTAATTGTACACATTCAGCAAGATGTATGCAGTATGATGCAGGAATGAGTTATTTTTAAAAGATGCTCAGCCATTAAAATCAATGATAGGGATCAATAGTTTTATCCAAGTATATCAAATTCCATTATAAACCATATTTGCCTTGACACTCAGTAGAAAATAAGGCTGTTTTTATAAAGGTAATGGGAATGAAAATGGAAATAAGCAAGGTTAGTTCTCTCAATAGTCTTGCTATATATTAACAGTTTTTGACTCATCGTATTGACTTATTCTATTAATAAGCAATTTCTTACTTTACATAATAGTACTTTTAAAGGTGTTCAGAGTGTTTTGCAGATAACATGTGATGCTAAATGGGGAAATGGAAGACTTGAGGCTACTGATATATTTACATGATTCAACATCAAATTAATCACTTCAGGGAATATAGGCCATATCATTTGATTGATCAGATTTTTCACCCTCAAGTCAATTGACTTTGTATTATGTAAGCCTAGATTCTGTAAATAGAGAAATGCTATACATAAATATTCAAGAGAAACTCTGTTTTTCACAAATAGTATTGAAGACATAATTTCAAACATAATTATAATGAAAATTATTTATTGCATCAAGAGCCATTCTAGGCCTATTCTATCTAGGTTTGTAAGTTCTCTCTAAGATATTCATGAAATGTTGTAATCACCTAAAAACACATTTCTCAGAAATGCAGAGAGAAACAAAAGACAGAGAGGTTCACAGGAAATATGTGAGATTGCTGCTGGCCTAACAGGAAATACTGTTTTACAGTAAAGTTGTCAGAATAAATAGGAGTACATTTTAAAATAACAAAGAGTACAGTGTAGTAATGTATGAACTACTAACACAGTCATTTATTATCATTATCAAGTATTATGTACTGTTCATAGTGTACCCAGCAGTATGTGTTATACTTTAAATGACCAGCAGTACAGAAGGCTTTTTAC